GACAGTGGTACATTTTTGCCTCTTGCCTAATGACTGTCTTATTCCAAGCATTTCCCCCTCAGCTGGCTATAGTGCTGCTTACCTTCTGGGCTACAAATTGTGAACTGCCATTATTCATACTTGAAATTGCACTTTGTGCAAATATGAGCTAAATTGCAATCATTATATGTAGTAAAATAGATTGAAATTTTTGTTAATCTGAAGGCTGTAGCTCATTCTTTTAATCAGAGACATTGTTGAATTCTCCCATGCTTTGATTTCTCTTAGATATTTCTTTTTCTCTCAGGTGTGGGATTGTTCTGTGTTCAGTATTCCTGCTCCTAATTTGGAATTATTGACTTGAGGTATAAAATGAACAAAACTATACATGTTGTCTTTAATATGTGAGTGCAAGATAGTGATTTTCCCTCCCTAATCTTCTCTTAAACTAGAGTTGAAGAAAAAAAGTACAGTATGATCTAAGGTTATTCTATAGAATCTGAGGGCTGGAGCACCTTTGCTGTGAAGACAGGCTGAGAGAGTTGCAGCTATTCAGTCTGGAGAAGAGAAGGCTCTGAGGAGGCCTCATAACTGCCAAGAGCTTGTAGTAAGAAAACAAGAGATAGTGGATCAAAACTGGAAAAGGGGAGATTTAGCTTAGGCATTAAGGGGAAATTCTTTAGTGTGATGGTGCTGAGACACTAGAACAGGTTGCCTAGGGAAGTTGTGGAGGTCCCATCCCTGGAAGTGTTCAAGACCAGGTTGGATGGGACTCTGAGCAACCTAATCTAGTGGGAAGTGTTCCTGCCCATCCAGGGGGGTTGGAACTAGATGATCTTTAAGGTCCCTTCCAAATCAGAATCATTCTGTGATTCTATGAATTGTCCTATTAAAGCTCTTCATTTGAAAATCATAAGCTAAACAATGTAATGATTTTTAAATTCCTCCTTTCTAAATCATTCTGTGCATTGAATAGATTGATGATTGAGGAAGTATCTGAATACAAAAATATAAGTGAGAGGAAAAAAATTGTTTGCAGTTGTGTGAATTCTACCATAAAGAAATGAAACTATATTAAATTAAATGATTAAGAAAGACTTTAACATTAAGGTCACCATATGATGTTGCAACCCTGTGGATAATAACCTGCATGGAGATTGGTAATAACGACAAATGTTTTATCTTTTGACCTTATGCTTATTAAGAGAGACACTTACAGTTTTCTCATTTTACACCACTTTGTTTAGAGGTAAATTTTCAAAAGGAGATAAGGAGAGAGTAAAGCAGTCAAGTCTTTCTGTCACTTGCATTTTGTACATCTTGCCTTTGGACACCTTTAATTTGGGCAACAGATTTGATTCATTCTCATGCAAAACCTTTCCCTGCATCAGGGATAGATTTTTACTAAATTTTGCTGAGGAGCATATTTTGCCAGTCTAATACCTATATAATTTAATTTTGTATGACAGATATCCTGCTTTTTCCTTCCTGAACAGAAGCTGAGGTGTTTCTGAAAACATGCTTGCTGTCCTCACCTCTGCAGTCTAAGGGCAGTGTGAGGTTAGCAATACATACATTTCTGTAAAAACACCAAACACATATGTTATCAGTGAATTCACTGTATTTTGAAAATCATGGGAACATATATGTAGTAAAAGGTATTTTAAAACATGCTCTAATTCCTTTAGAGAAGAAATGAGTATAGATCAAGCAGTTAGATCAGTTAGGCTGGGGCAGGGCTGAGTTCAGTGAAGCTGCATTGGGCATCATGAACGTTACCCAAGGTATATGTCCAAAGCAGAACAGGCACTGGGCTGTACCTGCTTCCTGAGAAGCTGTTGGTGTATCTCAGCCTGAGAAGTCAGCCCTGCTGCTTCATGAGCAAACAGTTGTTTGTCTGCTGAAAACTTTTTTGTGCTGTCTCCAGCATCCAAATACCCGCAGGGTAGAAGTCTCATTGTTTCATAACCATTTTCTCTTCCCTAGTAACACATGCACCTCATCATGTGCAGGGTGGTAGGAACCAGGAACATGTGTTTGTTTTTATTATTATTTATCTGGCTCTGGCAAGTACAGAGCCAGAATATTTCTAATGTTTTGAAACTCTGTTTTTATTTTAGTGTCTCAATGACACTTTCACTTCTTTTCTTCATAACTGTTTCTTACCTCACTATATCTTTCAAAATGTAAATGGTAAATTAGTTCACACAAATATGTTCCTCTAAATATTATCCTTTACACATATTCTTATAGTTTCAGTTTTCAAGATGAATCATTATCTAAAAAGTAAAATTAATTATAAATATGTAAAAGGCTTACTGTTAGGGTGTCTTAGGAGTTATATGTAATTTAGAGTGGCAACGATTCATGGCTTCTCTTCAATTCTCTACACGTGCCTTTGAGGTGGCTGGCGTTGCCCACAACTATGTCATTTGTTTCCCTTTGATTTTAATGACTGACATCTTACTTTTGGCATGCTTCCTTCTGCTGGGCTATAAAAAAAAAGGAATGTGCAGATGTGGGGAAAAAGCAAAGCCTGGAAATATCTGAAATTAATAAAAATAGTAATAAAAGATCAGAAAGTAGGTTTAATTTTGCTAGTACATTAAGAAAAAAAATCTGTGGTAGCCCTGTTGGCATGGAGCAGAAAATTAAAGTATGTGTAATACCATCTTTCAGTTAAAGGATGATCAGTTACAGATGTCATCCAGGAACCAGTAACTTGGTCTCAGATACTCATAGGCAGGTACTGATGTCAATTGTTGTTTTCTGTCATAAATTCAGTAGAGATTAATGAAGTAATTTACCATCTATTAAAAAAAAAATATTGATGCGTCAGCTGACTTTTTATCATTGTAATACAAGAAACAGTAAAATGAGGACTCAAGAATTTAAAATCCATAAAAGGAAACATTGTTACACAGTGAACAATCTAATTTTTCATTGCCAAACTGTATTTTTTATTAAAAATCTGTGTAGTGTTCAACATGTGTACACACCACACACCCCCAGAAATGCACGTTAATAACTTGTAAAAGATGAGAAGGGCATTTTGTAGTTTATTTGTTGGTTTGGTTTTGGTTTTTTACCCATGAGGAAAAGTCATGTTTGCATGCTTAACATCTGCCTAAAGGTCTGCAGAAATGCAGGTACTGGTGAGGTGTAGGGGAGGGAAGATTCCTTTCTCATTACAGAGACTTGTGCATTTCCCTGTAAAGCAGCCAGTAATAGCTGCTGACTGGGAAAGCAAAGGAATTAGTCTCCCTGCTTAAGGAAGCCACTCAGCTCCTGTATGTTTTGTTGTGCACTATTATGTGATTGCTGTAGCCTTACAATGAAGGAAAAAAGCAATAAAATCTAAATTGCAAAAATATGAAGTTCTCGCTGAAAATTGTGGTGAGAATATCCAAGATCATAATCCTTGACTGAATGTTCTTGTTCTTAACAGGTTGCATTGCTACTACTGTAATTAATTAAAAACAAACAAACAATCAATTATTTCTCACGTGGGTTCTGATGCTTCTTCATGCGTGGATTTTCATGGTCATAGTGAAAAACCTCCAAAGTGGCCAGTGAAATTTCAGACTAAATTATTAGTCTTAGAAAGGGGCAACTAAATGCTTAATACTCATCTGTGGGTAAAGGTTCTCATAAGTTTTTGAAGAAATGAGGACATCTTTTTATTGGTAGAACACAGAAAGATCACAGGTTAAATTTAACTTTCTTTGCCAGTGAGGGAGAAATAAGATTAATCTTTGTTATTTGATACTATCGTTTAAGGTAACACATTATTGTTTGATGCTAGGTGATGAAGTGACCATAAGCCAATTTTGTTTCTTTTGGAGACATTGGGAAAAAAAATTGTTTTCCAAGGCAGTGGTGTTCTGAATTTACTTGGTAGCTTAAGAGTGCTCCATTTACTTTCTTTTTTTCCTCTTTTTAGTAGCAAACTATGAAAGTTACTATGAGTGTTCTCTTTAAAACACAAAAAAACCCAGGAAGTTATTGTTAGTTATTGCTAAAATTAATTCCTCAGGGGGACATTAATCTTAGGACAACATAGCAAAATAATACTACTTATACAGAAAGAAACATACTTTGTCAATAACTCTGAGTTTCCCATGCAGTTGTTTAAGGCAAGTATTGGACATGGAAATTCCTCTTGGAGACCCTGACTGAACTAGATAGTATGTGACCAGGTGACTAGAAATGGCACCACAGCTTGTGCAGGACCAAGTGGCTCAAGCCTGAGCAGGCTGCTTGCTTTTTGGAGCACATAACACTTGAGGAGGTCACTCCAGACCTTGGGTGTTGGCTCGTGTGTTCATACCTACCGAGCAGTCTTGCAGTCTGGGTAACTGGCTTAGCTCTATCTAAGACAGGCTCTAACCAGCATTTAACCTGAGACTTTTTTGCTTTTCCTCCCTCAGGTAATACAACTGAGGGCACTAACTTGCTGTATGAGAGCTTGTATTGGGATGTGTACAGAAATGCCTTTGCATTGGCTCTTGACAGAGCTACCTCAGGTGGCTGCTGCGGGGCCAGCAGAGCCCCCTGAGCAGAGTGGTGCCCCTGTGCTGGGGCTGGGGCCTCCCTGCAGATGCTGTAGGTGTCTCGAACCCACTCTCGGCGGTCACGGCTCCCGGGAGGCTCTGCAGCTGGGGCACCGGGTCGTGCTGCCGGCGGAGGAGGGTCCTTGCCCAGCCGGGCCCCGAGCTGGGCCCTCCGCCCTGGCCTGCGCCCTCTCTGGGTGCACCTCTGGGTGCTGCTTCTGTGAAAGCTCCCATCAAAGCCATGTCTGGCTGAAGGACAAGGGGGCCTTTGCTCTGCTGATCCCAGTGGCTTTCACTTGGCTGTCCTTTACGGTGATTATGCTTCCCTTGTTTTTATTCCTTCTCAGCCTGAGATGGGCACTGCAGTGCCTCTGACTAATGCACCAGTTCTTAGTGACTTTAAACACCTCTATGCTGCATGCAAGTCATTGTTCTATCTCCATTTGAGCACTTGCAAATTTGGCAATAATGGTGGTCTCCAGAATGGCAATTAGTGAAAGTAGGTTGTATTTTGTGACCAAGCAACCAAGCTTGGTTTAATCTTGTTTGTCTCCACACCCTCACACACCCCCCACACCTTATTTTCAGCTACATGTCAGCTTGCAGGTAATGGAATTGTAAATTGCCTTACAGACACTACTGATAAGTCTTCATTTGGTGCCAATTCTTAGCCTTTTTCTTTTTAAAAATTCACTGTGTTAGTTCAGAAATATCTGCACTCTAGGATTGGTAAAATCTCAGCGTATAGTAGTAACATAGCTGTCTTTTCTGTGATCCTTGAATCTCTTCAGGCATAACGGTACATGGATGTTGTATGTGATGGTCTTCTGCTCTTGTGTTCTGCTATTGCTTTCATGGATAACACTTTCCAAGTTGAAAACAAAAGCATTTGCATTGCCAAAGACAGAAGACATACTGCAAGGCAAAGTCTCTTCCTCAGTGTCTGTGTGTCACATTCACTATTCTGCCATATAAAAACTAAGTAGGTGCTATAAAGGCTTTTAAATGAAGCTGTGAATTTCTTCACTGAGTGGTATGAGTGCTTTCATTGAACATTTTTCTTTACCTATTCTGTTATCATTAATTAACTGTAATGCTGCCACAAAATAAGCTCTTTCTGAGGTCAGACAGTCAAGCGTTCAAAGAGAGGGAAGGTTTGGGAGAACTGGGAAGATATTTGCTCTTTTTTGTATGAACTGCTTTCTTATGCCTTATTAACAAGGAGGAAGGCAGCAACATTGTTTATGTTAAGCTCTACTTTGATGGAAATATTTGTTTCTTTGAAAACCTGCTGTGTCTGTTGATATAGCACCAGTTTCAGCTTGGAAAAAAAAAAAAAAAAGGTTGGATAAGACTGAGAGAACTAATAATATCTTCTCACAGGAGAAATATGTTTGAAAATATCCACCATTCATATAGCCTGACTCATTCTAAAACACACTATTTTTGTGTAGCAGTGTTTGTTTTTCTGAGTCTAAGGATAATGTTCTCCTTGAGGCTGTTAGCAGTGTCCAGTTGGACATGGCTTTCAAAGGGGAAAGAATCAGCCCCATCCTTATCACTAGTGTAGGCTTTAAAGTGACACAGAACCTGCCACCTGTTGCCCATCACTATTGTCAGGTCTGTAAATTATGTACCATTCCCTCCAAGTCTGAACAGGGATATGTACTGAACTAGGTTTAACTTGATGTTATTTTTAGAACAAATTACATGATTGCACACTATTTCAAAGGCCCCAGGTAATAAAGTACACAATTAAACGTATCTGTCTGACTCTCTTCATTTTTCTGTGTGGCTTTAGGTATAAAAACTTAACTGTTTGTTTTCCAGACTCTTGTGGTAAAGATTTTGGTCCTACTCTGGGATTGAAAAAGTCCAGTTCTCTTGAGAGTCTTCAGACTGCTGTGGCTGAAGTTAGGAAGAATGAACTCCCCTTTCACAGACCCAGGCCTCACGTGGTCCGTGGTCGGGGGTGTAATGAGAGTTTCCGAGCTGCCATTGACAAATCTTACGATGGACCTGAAGATGCAGAAGAGGGTATGTTGCTAATTGCACTTGCTGAGAGAGGCACCTTCACTTAGCACTGCTGAGGGCCAGCTCAATAAAGTACATCAGCTAATTATTTAGTCCAATTGAAGTTGATCGTGTGTTAAAAGCTGCTTATGTCCTCCACTGAATAGAGCTGTCTTTGCAGTACCCCATACAACCTTGACTGGGTTTAGAGTAAAATCTTTCACTGATCTCCTTTGCGGCAGGGGTAGGTTGAAGGATTCAGAACTCAATCCTTAAATAATTACATTGTTTTAACTTCAAGAAGCAGCTGCCTTCTTCAGATTACATTAAAAATTATCTCGCTTGTTTTACAGAGCTGTCTACAATTCCTCCTTCTCTGACCAGGAAGTTTGTTTCCTGTTATAGACAAGGCAGAGTGTATTGATAGCACCCTGCTGCTCATTCTGTCACCATGGGCTTATAGCCCTCAGTCTGGAAATACATATCCTTTAGCATTAAGCATAAGACTGTTCTTGAATGCTGAGCCCTCCAAATAGAAACTGCACAGCTCTTCTCCAACCAGACAGAACAGAACAGTTCATCTATTTCCTTTTCAGCCATTAAAATAGAAAGATTTCAGGGAGTGAATGAAAGAGTTTTGTTACGTAGGTTGGTTATACTAGTTGCCAGAATCTCATGTCTAAGTAAGCACTCAGTGTTTGCTTCCCAGCATGTCAGTTTTCCCAAGATGATGGAGGTTAACAAGCTAGATTTCAAACAGAATAGTCTTTTACCATGTCAGAAGTTTTGTATTTGGCATAACAACTAAAAAAGAAGTAATTTTAAAAAATTAATTCAATTTACAATAGAAATCTATTTGAATTCACTAGGTAGATATGTTTACTCTGCTTTTTAAACTATTCAATTAAATGAGTAAGTGTTGTGAGTCATTTGAGCATTTTCTAGGCACTCAGGCTGTATTTCATGTGTTTGCTTTTTGGGAGCCCCTAGCCATCCTCACTGCTTCTTCATTCTGTGCAGATGGTTTCTCTGATAAGAGCTCTCACTCTGGTCAAGAAACTCGGAACATGGAATCTGCCCTTCCAGGGAACCCTGAAATAGAAGATGGAGAAACCCATGCAAAAAAAGACAAAAAAAATAGAGAGAAAGAGAAGAAGAAGGAAAAGGGCAAATCTAAAGTAAAAGAGAAGAAAAGGAAGGAAGAAAATGAAGATCCAGAAAAGAAAAAGAAGAAAGGCTTTGGTGTCATGTTGAGGTATGGCATTTTAAAAAGCAAAACAGCCACTCATTCTCATTATAACATAGGAAACAACTGATACTCTCATAAAATAGGGGGAAAATTATTTCACTTGGACTCAAAATAATGTTTATGTTATTTAAAAAGAAAGCAGTTTATACTTTTACATCAAACTTGTAGCTAAGGCAAAAGACATTTGGCAGACAAAATGACTTTTTATGCCTTTGAAATTCATTCCCATATGTCGTAAAAGATTCAAGGTTTCAGACTAAAAACAAGTGTGTGTCAATGGGGGAGGCTTTGTGGGGAATATTTCTGAGTAATACCTGACCCACTCCTACGCTCAGGGTTTGCCTTCTCTTCCTTTGCTTATCTGCTTCCTTCATGAGCTTTGGGGAGAGCATGATTGCTTGTGTTACCATAAACAGTCTAGTACATTTTCAGCTGCTCAAAATCATTAGCTATGCTAAAATCTTGGCTTCACAGCTTCAGCCACTGCCTGCAGTGGTCAAAAGCTCACCATCCTCCCTGCCCAACATACAAGTGTTTGGATTTCTTCTGTGACTTTTGGTTGATTTTGCTTCTCTGGAATCACCAGAGATTAGGCAAAGTTTTTTAGGCCATTTCCTTGCTACTGCTGGAGTCTGTGATGCTGTGGACACTCTTGTTGCTATCACTCCTACCTCTGGAACCCATTTAGTCTATTGAGGATTAAAATGTTTCCATTTAAGTAGACCTTTTCAATTAGTATAGGGCATCTGAATGAAATTTAATGATCACCTGGAGAAGATAAGAACACTAGACCATGTGATGTGGTTACTTGTGGCACCGAACATTTAATGTTAGCTTTAGGAGGCTATTGGTGCTTCTTAGGATGCTGTGCTATAGACAATCCAGATACATACAAAAGCCACAATCACTGCAAACTAGTAAACTAAGAAATTCAGCTGCAATATCATTCACTTATAGTTATATTCATTGGGACAGTGATATATGAGCTGAAATTGTTGCTTTCTCTTTCTACATCCTGTGGAGTCAAACAGCTCATGTTCTATTGATGTGGAAGGCTTTAGCTGACTTGCTTCCATGTATTTTCAATATGAATCCTCAAAATTGTCTTATCAACTTTTGAACACTCTAGAGATATTGTGAAAAATATACAAGGATGCTTATGTGCCAAATTTGCATGATTTCAGCAGTTGTTAGCATTCATAAGATGAAGGTGCATCGTTACACCAGTCTGCACTCAAATGGGGCTCTTTAGGAATGCAGCGAATGCACACACTCACACCTGTGCATTGCACGTGCATTTGTGTTCATACTGTTTAAAGAAATAGGGCTTAACATGAAACAGTAGTCAAAATACTGAATAATTAGGAGGATGACTTCAACAACTCTCTTGACTATCTTAAGCTTTAAATCTATTTTCATTCTTTTTTACTCTTTGGTGTGAGTAGGGCTGTTGGAAGACGAGGGAAGTGACAGAGAGGTCTGACAAAATCATAAGTATTCTTTTTCATGTGTCACTGGCAAATTCGAAGTTTGAAGTGGAAAGTCTTACAGACATATGATGCCTGAGTCAAAAAGAACATAGGACAACATCAGAATCCAAAATAAGTTATTGTAGTTGGCAGAAAAATCTGATAGTGATCAATACGCAAAACTGGGAGTGGTAGATTACCAGTTTTAGTGATTTCCTTTTTCAGAATGTATTTTACATTTTGGTTGTATATGAGCTTTATACATCTATTCTTCTCACAAGCTTGATTTTTATTTAGATTAATAGTCTTCCCAGCAGACAGTAATTGTTAATAATATTTACTTATCTGCATGGCATCACAGAATGGGCATTTCTATTCCACACTACTGGAAATCTACAAAGCCGCAAGGATGGAAGCAAGAGGTTAGAATGAACAGAGGAGGAGTTGGTTTAAGAGCTAACAACTCAGCTAGAAGGTTTTTAGAGGATCCATGTCCTCGTCAGTGTTTCTTCCTAGTATTTATAAATTTGTTCTTGAAAAGAAATCCCTGCCTGAGAAGATTAGAGTCCTAGGGAATTCCAGCCATGATAAAAGTGAAAGAGGGGTGATGACCTATAAAGACCAAAGAGCAAACAGTGTGAGTTTACAAAACAATTTGGGGCCATGTGTCCTGCTCAAGATGGGCAAAACCAGGCTGGTATTTTTTCAGGGAGAAACTGCTATGAATGACATAGAAAACAAGTGAAAAAATGTATTATCTGAAAATGTTTTTAAAATAAATAATAGAAAGCTAATGGGGGAACTTAGGAGGGGTCAAATACTGCCTAATACGAAAATCAAGAGGTATTTTTCAGACTGAAGTTTTGGACTTATCTGAAGAATTAAGAGTGTTGGGAGGACTAGGGAAGACTGCTGTAAAATGGTTTGAATTAACAAGTATTCTAGCATCATAGATGGAAAGAAACAGCCAGGTTTTTTATGACATTGTGGTGATGAAACTGGCATGTTTTATTGGTAGAACATCTGTGAAATGAAAGAGAGAAGCTGAAGACAAAGTTGTGAGCTTCTGCAGAGGGCAAGGTGACTACTAATTCTTAGTAGCTTAAGAGAAAGAAATAGAGAAGTATTTAGAAACAGAGATGAGCTCAGTTTTTGACATGCTGAATTTAAATTGGAAGGGAAACCTGCTATATGAGGCATTATAAATGTAAACACCTTAAGGGAGCAGAAAAGTGGAAGAAGGAAATCTGTTGTGACCCCTTTGTAGGTTAGGGTTAGGGTACAACTGTGGTGGTAGTTGCACTGTGATCCCCCATGTGGAAGACCACCAAAATGAGAAGCAAGGAACAGAGCCCCCACTAGACTGACAGGAGGGAAAGACCCAAGAGAAAAGTAGTTAAGAAAGCAACCACCAGGAACAGGAAGAGGGTGTATCTACCTGGGACCAGGTGATGCTATGAATTTTCTAAACTCATCCAGTGACTGCAGCCATGTAAGTGATTGATCCTACTGAGAGCTGGAACCCCATACTGATACATTCTCATACTGTTTATAATTTGTGGTCTGCTTTGTTCAGAACTATTTTGGCTGTGCCTGCATAGTTCTGCTCTTTTATGTACAGATTTGCTGAACCCATATCAAGATTGGGTTGAGATAAGTAGGAGATGAGTGTCTGTGGTGAAAGCTCCAGGACCAGAAGGACAATTAAAATATTTCTGAGATCATGCCAGGAGGCTCAGTGCTAATGAAGACACATGTACTTGCTGGCAAATTACTAGGGTTCATGTGTGAAGGACAACAGAACGTAGAATTTGAGGCTAAAGCAGGTACTGGAAGTGTCACAACACTATGGCAGGGGTTTTGTGCTATACTTGCTGGATCCTATATACAGCGATAACAAGTTTTGTCCTGATAGTATATCCATGTAAATTGTCTTGTTTCTACCTTACAATCAATAACAAAGCATTTCAAAATATTAAAACTAAACCCAAGTATTTATCTGTAGTACAAGAAGCATGGAGCTTTAGTCTTCTGCATCTGAGATTTTTGAGCATATTGGAATTGCTACTGCGTTGGGTTTTTACATTTATTTTTTTTTTAAATTTAACAACAGAAAATAGCAAAGCTGTTAGCGGTTGCTAACAGATTTCACTTAGTGCCTCATCTGTTGCTCAGCTGCTATTTACTTGTAGTTCCTGGTCTTTTTTTACACATATGAAAAAAAAAAAGAATGATTGCTTTGCTGCTAGCTTTTCTTGGATAGAAGCTTTATTTAGGTTACTGTGATTCAGGGAGACCATCAAGAAATCATGCTTTTATTTTTGTGATCATTGTTTTCAAAAAAGTCTCGTTGTTTTACCCAGTATTAGCTGGAGCTCTTGGCTGCTGCATTTTAGTAACTGTGGCACTTGGAGCAAAGTAGGTTAGTACACTGAAGATTTGAAATGGAGATGACAGTGACTTAACTGATTAATTAAGTCTTTATAGTCCAAAGCACTCTTTCACTGTGGTGCATACTGCAGTGTTTGTGTGTCCTGATTTGGTTGGTTCTGATGCTTAGATAGCCTGGCTGAGTGCCTGATGTGTGGGTGAGCTGTCCAAAGAACAGAAGCTGATTCTGTTAACTGTCTGTATGTAACATCAGCTAAGAGAGCATTATATTTTACTTTTTGATGTTTTTTTGACCCAGTGCACCATCATAGCTCACCAAATAACCCACAACTAGACAAGAGACAGCAAAGCAAATTGATTATTTATTTTTTTTTTAATCAGGGAAACAGCTACATTAAATACTTTCATTAGTGGAGCTGTGAATTAATGTATAGAGCAGTCTCAAGAAAAAGCCAGTGTTTAACATCTATGTTGAAACTCTTTTGGAACAGCAATAATACTCAGTTCTGTGCAGATACATAACAGCAGCAAGAGTATGCAATACCACATTCAGTTCTTGATTCATCTCTTTTCTTACAGTGAGCTGACTGTTCCTTCCAGGGCTCAGTGAGTCTTGAGGAGACTGCTGGACCTCAAATCAGCTTCCCTGCACTTCTTTTTGCAGGTGTTTAGTATTTTCATAAGCAGCATTATAGTGAAATAGAGTATTTGTGCTTTTGAATAAAGGTAGTATGTAATGTCATTGGTTTAGAACTGTCAAAATGCCCTGTGAAGTGGCTCTGTAGGCTGTTTGGAAGGGTTAATTAACCCCTCAGTGCAGGATGTTAAAAATCCCTGATGCTAGGCACGAATGCAAAATGCATTCCTCAGTTTATTAGGTGAGGAACTCTAGATTTTATATTTGTGATCTATAGTTATTTAATTGCCATGCTTTGAAATACTATAAAAATATTATTTGCTAACAAAGGTAGGCTTTGTGTTGGTTTCTGAATTAACTTGGAAGAAGACCGAGCCTTTAAATCACCAGGGAAATATGACCTCAGCTATGCAGAGCTAGTCTGTATCCTAATCACAGAGCAGTTTTTACAGTTCTGGTGTGTAATAAACATAAGTTTATATAGCTCTCTCACTACCTTTTACAGATAG